CAACACACCTCTTCAATACATATGCTAAAATGGTATAACAAACAGACAAGATAACCACCTATCCCAAAACATTCCCATTTCACCTTGATATCCTGTTGCCTTAACAGTACTTCAAGTTTCATTACAATCTACTGTCTTATTTACAATTAACTTTTTAATTGTGCAGTATTGGTTCACACCAGATACAAATGCACATGTGCGTGCACATACACCTGTATTTTTGCAAAACAGTAACAAATGCGATTGTCCTATACTTATAAAACAAAGGATTGCTATCTTTTCAGTGTTTGAGTAGGATGAGGGTGCCTACCTGCCACTTCATTTTAGCCAGGTAGGAATTAAATGTTATTTGCCGCATCCAGTCTAGGTACCCAAGTTAAAAAGTACCATCCCAGCATTTGGTAACAAGACATTTCAATGTTAAGCTGAAGGCCATGATTCATTTTTAAAAATAATCTTAGGTTTGTACATAGCACCTGTTAGTACAAGACATTATAGTATCATGGTAAACCAGCACTGAGGACTATGGGAGGATCCAGATGCAAGGCATCGGTTCTTTTCTAGCCTCTCTCTCCGACTTGCTGTATAACCTTGGGAAAAGTCATTCACTTCCTGTGCCTCGGTTCCTTCATCTGGAAAATGGATACTGACCTCCTTTTCAAAATGCTTTGAGATCTAATGAGGAAAAATACTATATGGAAAGAGAAAGCATAATAATTCACACTTACCATACTACTTTAACCACCAAGAGCAATAATAAAGAAAAGCACTTGTAAGTGTTCCAATTTTCACTAAACTCTTTTAAGCAATCAGGCTTGTTTCCATGTGATTACCAAAAAGGAAAGATCTCAGGTTGAAAGATCTTTTTAATGATGACTTTTACAGAATTTTCTAATGCTGCATTAATATATCTGCAGTAATGTATGCAACTAACAGAGGCCTCACCTTTTGCTTTTGCACTCCCACCTGCCCATCCTCCAGCAACGCACAAGATGGCATCCAACTTTTCTTCACCCAGAAGTTTTCCAACATCTCCTGTCACCTTAAACAGATGAAGCAAGAGATCATAAAATCATCCTGAAAACAAGTCACTGAAGTAAAGATGCAAACATCCAGACTACTTTAACACTGCTATTTTGTTTTCCATTATACTGATTATTCAACACACATGGCATTTTAAGCAGCTGCAGAAAATTAGGGTTTATGGTTCTGCCTGCTCAAAGCAAATAATAAAAACAAAAAGGGAAAACAAATTAATTAACAGCTGCATATGAGGTGACATCAATGGGACAAACTCATGCAGAAAAAGTCCACAAAAATTAAACCCATATTTAGGTTGCTACATACAGACACAGAGAGGCTCTTGGTTGAGTGACAAAAGTCATTCCTAGCATACCATTTAAGAACCGACTCTCCAGATTAAACTAGTAGTAGATTTACCATGTTTCAGGTAAAGCTGTAAGAAGTGAACAATTATGAAAGGGACAATTATTAAATAGCCTTCTCAGGGATAAAGTTTCTACATAAATGATGGCTGGGTTACACCTGTAGCTTAGGAATTTGTAAACTGTTCTCTGGCCATTCTTTTCCTCTCCCACATTTAAGAATTTGCCTGTCAGTACAGAATTTTATGTCTGTGGATTTTACATCAAGAACAGTTGTTGTTGTGCCAGCTACTTGGCACTGGAGAGAAAGAGGTTGGTTTCTAGATGAAAAGCCTTAGATAAGACCACATCATTTCTTTTTTAAGCACTCGGCATTAAGAAGAGTAACAAATCTGTGGCATGAAATGCTCCATAATCTAGCTGTAATGCCTTCTGAGTTACAAGAGCACAAAAAAAATTGCACTGGTGAAAGGAACACACACATATACTGGCAACAAGCAAGACCATTTTTTCAATAAAACACCATTTAGGTCACTATTCTCATGTGGGCAAGCTGAACCCACACATAGCCCTAGCAACTTCATTGGTGCTTTGTGTAAATCTAGCAATCCATCTGCCTCCAGTATATTTCAGGATTTGAACCTAAGAAGTTGGGGGTTTACATGACCAAATTATGAAGTAAACTGTAAAGGTCAGGGCTCCGAGAAACGCTTTCACACTGATCAGTCAGTCCCAGTTAGCCTCACCTGCCTCACAACAAAGGGGTGCCCAAACCATGACAATATTGACAGCGGGCTAGCTGCAGTACAAAATGCAGACTCCTAATTCACCTGGGTTGCAGCAAGCCAGTTATTGAATAAGGAAACCAGATTAGGATAGGCACAATTCAAAGCTGAACTTTAGACTGAATTCAAGAACATGGGGGGAGGGTACAAGGGGGGGCTTGGTAAATTTGAGGTTTGCCTGCATGCTTCTGTTGGGGCTATGGATCCTTATTTTTTTTTGTGATATTAA